TTTGATAATATTATGATACGCGTTTTTAGCAGAATTAAATAATCGGTCCGAGCCGCCTGTGGAAAACTCGGCAGGATTCCAACCCACGACAGCAAGGGTGAGGCCTGAATACAGTCAAATCTTTGTTCACCCAGGCTATTTAGTGAGTCTGGTAGTCAGATAGTGGACTCTAGACTACTTGTTTTGGCAATCTCGACTTGACGGTCACAACTTACAGTCGAGTGAACGGGTTACTTGACTCAAGTGTAATTAAACTCACGGTTGCCGGTTCGGTATCGTGGCTCTAGTGGCTAGAACGTTGGCTGTGCTTAAGCCTTCCCCTTGCTGTCTTGGGTTCAAATCCCACCGCGGTCGACGAGTTCTTTACAGCTGCGTCAAAATAACTTATTCAAAATCTGCCAACACACCTAGTACAGAAAAAGAATACAACGAAACGAATGATTCACTTAATGACAACTTTATTGGGAAATCATTATGGAGCATTTGGGACATACGGACAACCGGATTTTACTCCAAAGACGGTACACATCAATCGACCAACGTCTTACGCCAAAACCAGTCCTGCTCTCTGATGTCTAAAGACGGGAATAGGAAAACTTTCTTTGTAAAACCAAGCCCATCTTTGACCACATTTTCAAAACCCTTGTTTCGGTAGAAATTAAATAACTCTGTGCTGGAGACTGATAGGTCCTCTTACGACAAACAGACGAGAGGCAGTGAACTATAGGCATATTATAATGGTTGAATAACTGAAGTACAGTAAGTGGGCTAACTCGTGAAATCTCAACAGAAATTCCCAAATGCGTTTCCGTTCCGAAATGATCAAGTAAGTAGGGTTGTAAAACACATAGTCGTGCAGCATAGTTCTATACTAATTCAGTTACCCCAGGGTGCCGGCTTTCGGACAAACTTATTTCCGGCTGCATCCAAAAACAATACTCCGTAAAAAGTAATTACTTAAGAGGCATGCACTTTTTCATTGATTTTCGACGCTCTTAAAGATTCCATTATATTTCATGGGAAACATGCATAAAAATATTCATTCTCTTGCTCATTCGGTAGAACCTGACGCCTTCTTTCAATTTTATACTCGAAGGAGAGGTATAATTCGGTCTTATAAAACTTTTCCGATTCCCGAATAATTTTGAACCCCATCTGCCGTTACACTTGCGTTCAGGGTTCCCAAACTACAAGCCGTATAATTTTCGCGTACGAAAAATCATATATTTATCTACCGTATTAAAAGGAGACCATATGGGGTTCATAAAATTTAGCAGGGGATTTGAGACATATTGTTAACTTTACAAGCCACTTTGGTAAATGCAGAGACAGGACGTTTTATGAACGGGCATTTCACAGTATTAAAAAGTCTCACAATTATGAACTTTTTAAAACCGAATTATACCTCTCCTTCGAGTATAAAATTGAAATAGGACGTCAGGTTCTACCGAATGAGGAAGAGCATGAATATTTTTATGCATGTCTCCCATGAAATATAATGGAATCTTTAAGACCGTCAAAAATCAATGAAAAAGTGTATGCCTCTGAAGTAATTACTTTTTACGGAGTATTATTTTTGGATGCAGCCGGAAAGAAGTTTGTCCGAAAGCCGGCACCCTGGGGTAACTGAATTATTATAGAACTATGCTGCACGATTATTTGTTTTACAACCCTACTTACTTGATCATTTCGGAACGGAACCGCATTTGGGAATTTCTGTTGAGATTTCATGAGTTAGCCCACCTACTGTAGTATGCATCACGAGGGGATATAAGGAAAGGAGAATGCTCGTCGGAAAAAAAGAGTTTTAGTCGTAAATTTTCGAGCCGGTTACCCCAACCTCTCGTCAGACTAAATTAATAGTGAGAGGTGGGTTGTAACGCTGTTGTACGAGGGCGCAGACGGAGAGATAAGCAGACGACTCTGTGAGGGGGAGGGGTGGATCTTGTTGTGATGGTTGCCGGAGGTGAGTGGAGGCGTTATGGGTTTCAGTTGTGGCTCGCCGTGTTGGAGGGGGAGAGGGGTTGAGGAGGGAAGAATGGCGTGCCGGCGAGATCCTACATGTCCGGGCATGCATTAGCAGTAGTTGTTTTTAAGGTGGACGCGTCGGCCCACCGCGGTCGGGGACCCTCGTAGTGGATATCTAGGTCAACACGGCGGTTGATGCTGTCCACACCGGACTACCAAGCTGTGAGGAATTTTCGTGCCTGATTGGCGTTGGCCATGACGACCACTTCAGTACCATCCCAATTGAAACGGTGGCCACCATCAAGGGCGTGCTCAAAAACACGAGTCATCATCGATGGATAGCTAGCTCGTGTTCGTTAATACGAGTGCTATGTCGTCGATATTGTGACCAATGCAAACGCAATGGCAGGCAGTTAGCCCACGGGATACGGTAAACGATGTTACTTTGCTGTTCTTTGGAGATGGGGTCCTCTGCCCCGGATAATGCGGCGCGTCCGGAGAATGCCGGCTTGTAGGCAATGCAGATGCCAGGCCGGTTAAGTTGTCGGGTGACCGCTTTAGGAATCCCCTGCATGTAAAGCAAGGGATGGCGCTACTTCTGTACCACTTCTCCATTAGAACTCTGATCATATGGTTACCTCTGACGTTGGAGACAGTTTTTAACGAAATAAGTCGGGTTTCCGTTAGTTAAGAAGACTTGATACAAGTAAGCTAGTTCTCTCTTAAGTAGAAGTGCAATATTATATATAGAACATATCATGTCCTATTATGCGTATCATTTGAAGACAAGCATGTTCTTTGGGAAAATAGGCAACTTTATTAAGAATATTTTTCCCTGATTCCCCTAGATCTTCGTCGTCAGACTTGAGTAAATGTGCGAAAAGCAATTAATATTTCAAACGTTCTGAAACATCGATATTTATTTGGTGTCTGCCTCACAAAGCAAGTAAGAACAATCTCATGAAATGCAATCTGACATTCTGAAGTGCATTTTCGATTAGAAAGGACTGCTTTATTAAGGCGTAGAGTTCAGTTTCCTACAGCACAACTACAAGGTACTTTAGTCCCGCCAGTGTACCGGCTTTTGAATGCACTTCTCTTCAGCCGCCTGTGAAAAGCCGCGCTAGGTAAAAATGGCCATTTATACGGTATGCATTTTCCCATCGATTTTCGATGCCCTTGCAAATTCCAAAAATATTTTGCAGAAAAAAACGCGCGGAAATATTCTTCCTTGTATTTACTGGCAAATCATGTCTCCTACAAAGTTTATGATTGAAAAGGATTGATTTGGGTTTCGAAAGAGGTTTTTTCGATTCCCGACGACGTTTTGAGCATTATGTGCTATTTTCCTGATGAAATGGACGAATGCGCGACCTTCCTTACATAGAAAGTATGTAGGTTGTAGTTTGCAAATTTTAAACCTAAATGCGCCGGCACATTGATCGCAAAGTTGGTCCGTTTTGAAACCTATATGTACCCCTTTCAAATAAACAATTTGATAAAAGCCTTTTTAGTTGCCCAATAAACACAAGAAAAAGGTGTTTCTACAAATTTTTTCTGTAAAAAGTATTTTAATCTAAAAGAGCATCGAAAATCTGCAGAAAAAATACATACTACATGGGTGACCATTTTTACCAAGTGTGGTTTCTACAGGCGACTGAAAAGAAGTTCATTCAAAAGCCGACACCCTGACGTGCTGCTCACGGAACGCTTCTACGGAACTCATTCGTCCCATTGCGCCTTAGGGTCCTCTCTCAAACCCAACTAGTAGCCGCACAGTGGCTAGTGATATCAGCAGAATGCTTCGCTGTGCGGCTGCTGGTTGGGCTAGAGAGAGAGATCCTGTAAGGCACAACGGGACGAGTGAGCTCCGTAACACGATCGGTGAGCGCTGCTCCACCATTGTTTATCGCAACCGACAGGACAACAAACCCCTGGCTCAGTGGTTAGAGACGTGAGATTTCCAACCATCAGGTCGCGGGATCGAATCCTAGGTGTTCAACACTTCGAGGTCGGATATGGCTGACTGACGACGGCTAGTAAGCCGGAAATGGCCATTCCAGTCTTCTTTGTCTTTGTCGATTATACCATTCTACACTCAATATTACAACCCCAACTAAGGAGTTCCGCGTTTTAAAATGTCGGTTAACATTTCATGAGATTCGTCACTGGCCGTAAGTGGATGTATTTGCATTGGAGAGACAGCTTGCATATCGTGTTGAGGCAAAATTCCACGCGTGACTGTGCAATTGTGAATAGATTTCATTAGTTCTGTTTGTCTGAGAGCAATCAGGCACGGCAGCGAGCATTTATCAATTGCCAGAAACTGGGACATTTCAGACACACAGGAGGTCGGTACATCTTTCATTGCAGATGGCACTATACCAAAGGTCACCTGTTTGCATCTGCTTACAGAGAGATTTGCACACACGAAGTGCACATTCTGAGCATTTGCAAACATAACTCGAGTGACCCCTATGAGATCCCATCGACGGTCGTCTTGTTAATTAACTCTGAGGAGTACTGATTTGGAGAATTTCAACTGGCCGTCCTTTTTTAAATTCGTTCCCTTAGTATTCTGACCTCTTTAGCTGCTGCTGCTGCTGCTGCTGCTGCTGCTGCTGCTGCTGCTGCTGCTGCTGCTGCTATTGCTGTTACTGCTGTTGTTGCTGTTGTTGTTCTCTGATACACTTTGAACAGCATCAGACTTTTCCCACTGAGCTAGACGAAAGCCTCCCTCTCTTCCGCACGTGTCTGTCCATCCGATGGGAAAGTGTTGAATATCAGTAGAGTTCGAGACTTCTGGTACAACTGCTCATTTTTCATCTCTGTGATTATACGAACAGCCCTCCACCATACTCACCGCCTTGTGCAACAGTGGCTGCTCGAGAAGCAGGACGCCCGCACGGCTCGAAAAGTCGTGGAGGCTCAAGGAAACGCGGAGCGACACGAAAGGAAGAACTTCTTCCCCGCAATCAAAGCCGTCTACGATCCACCAACCAAAAGTACTGCACGTCTTATCAGCGCCGGCGATGGGCCGAAAACTTCAGAGGCGTCCTCAACCGCCCCCCACCACCACCGACGCCGCCATCATCCGTCTGCCGCAAGTGGAGACCAACGCTGACCTCGACCTACCGATCTCTCTCCTTGAAGCCATCAGGACCGTGCGACAGATCTCCAGCGGGAAAGCCTCGGATCTGACGCGATCCCTGCTGAGGTCTACAAATACGGTGCCCCCTAACTCATGGATCATCTGACGGCACACTTCCACGCAAGCAGAAAGTGTGCATCTCGATTCCTTCACTGTGTGGTTCTCTTGATTCAAGTGTGATCGAAATCTGAGACGAAGGCGGTTCGTTGAGTGCCGTGGTTTGGAAGGCAGCCGACTGTGGAGAGTGTTAGGAGAAGGGGTGTACTTCATGGGTAGTGCCGCCGAGTCTACGACTGTTTGTTAACCTAACCTTGAAGAATGACGGCCCAGGCGGGACCAAGTGTCGCCCTTCTAGATCGAAAGGTTTGAAAGCGTGCGCTGTGTCATTATCAGCAAACCATGGCCCTCACAGCCTGGAATGCGCTGGCAGTCCCCTAGCACCTGGTTCCCTGCCGGTATATGCGTTTGCGCTCCCGCTGGGTATACAGGTGGTGAGCATTGCTTCTCCAGTCATCATCCTCGTCCTTCTGACATCTGTTGGGGTGTTGTTGTTCCTGTGGATTTTGTTGCTGCTGCTGTTGTTGGTCAAAAACCTGGTCATTGGCTGTGTGGACCAGAGGGTGTGGATTGGAACGCCAAGGTGCGGGCTCGACCGTGTCACCCACCTGCGCCCTCCTTCCACCTCCGGTCTTCTTGACTTTGTCTTGACATCGGGTCCAGGTGGGGAGTGGGGAAGGGAGGGTGCGGTAGATGTTGCGCAAGTCTACTATCTCTATTAACTAATTCACGTGCAAGTCACCGTGCCTGCTGCACCTTGCTGTGTAGCACACGGTGGCCATCGTCGAAATCAACCGTCGAATTGTAGATTATACGAGCATAAGGGGGTACTCCCGGAAAGCCAGTAAAGAAGAGAGACCAATCAGAGATCTTTCGTCAGGAATACTTGTGCACCACAAGACACGTGCGCCAGAGTCCAGAAGACTCCGGACGTCCATTTGAGGACTACATTACTCACTCAAATTTTTTGATGTTTGAACATGGGACCGCGTGCGGAAGACGAAACAGGCCTATTTACCTTTCAAGTAGAAGTACTGACCTTTATCCCGGCCCTCTTTTTCAGTTAATCATTCCCCACCACATTCATGTCCTTTAATCAACCTGACAAACTCGATTTAAGTCCCCCTTCAAAATCAGAAGCAACTGCCTTTCGCATTTTTCTCCTTAGACCTAATGAGTCACTTTTTCCACTAATGGAAAGCACGAAAATTGAATTTCCGGCTGGTCGACCCAATTGCGGCCGTTTTTATTAGGCTTCATCGCATCTTTGCTCATACTTACTCCGAACGCGACAGATCTGCGGAAAAAAGTCAGACCCATCCGGAGATTTCCCAAAATATTTCTTACATTTTCTGATTTCTTATGCAGCTGGTGAAAATGTCTCATTTCTGAAAATATACTGGGTCTTACTAGAAACCACATGCGCCGGCCCCGGCTGTGTGCTGCGTGAATACATCAACATGCCCTCAACAGCGTCTCGCTATTGGCCGCGGCCATAGTGCTTCTTTGAAACCTGACTTGTACATGTCTACAAGAAGTTGCTCAACTCTCCTAGCCCCCAATCGACCCCTAACCCCTACCATAACCCCTAACCCTTAACCGTAACTCTTACTCTGACCCCCACGCCTGCAGTATTGTGTCCACCAGGTGGAGCTAAATAACTGCATCTCGGCCCCTTCCCATGTAAAACAGAACAAACAGGATTCTAGCTAACCTGAAGGGGATGCAACAAGTACATGCATGTTTTGCAGGTTTCTATATACTTGCCTAGACCGGTCGTGTTTTCTTTCTCAGCCGTGTTGACGATTGGGACAGCAGTCGAGCACACATACAATCCGTGTTGCTTGTAAGTATCAGATCAGGTTATATCACTTTCTTCCTAAAAATTCCGCCTACAGAACTTCTGGCAACTTGTTATCATCTCTGTGAGCGACTGATAGTTGTACACTCTATTTTAGACTAAATTTTATGGACAACGACATTTGGCATGCGATTGACCTACCTAAAACCGTTTTGGGTGCATACTGTACACTTCCAGTTTGAAGAAAAAGTCGAATGCTTTCAGACATTTTTCGTTTTTCATGGACACACTTCCCAAACCATTTCGAAGTGTTAGCGTGGCCGTATTTCGTTAAGTAACTGGTTTCTCTTGACTAATCATCAAAAACATTATCTTGGGAAATCAAGGCGGGTGCTTTATCGACCACTTTAATCTTGCCAGAGTTCCCGAGAGGACCCCCTGTATTACCAGGGTTCTTAATATCCGTATCTGATGCAATAGTTGGTTCAACTTAACGACGTAAAGAAAGTAGAAGACTTAAAAGGATGGTTTTAGTCAATATCCAACCTCAGTAGGGTGTCCTTGAGGCAAATTATTGTTCTTAGGGTCACGGGGGGACTAAGGTGCTTCCGTTATGGATAAACACGTTTAAATAAGAAAAAACTAAAAGTTGCCTACTCCGTTTGTGTGTCCGGTTTTTTGAGTTGAACCCCTGAGATGTCAGTAGCGTTCAGCCAGTTTAATACTCGCATTTTAACCGGTTTGCACAACGAGTCACCAGGCCTCAAATGCCCAGAGTACTTTTGTCAGTCCGCAAACAGCCAAGGGCAAACGTATGAGCAGTGAAAATACAAAAGTCGGTTGATCAAGGTGTTAACTTTTCTCTTCGTTTGATACATTATGTTCAAAGTTGGAGAAAACTTCACATTAGGAAGGACTTAACCGGACTCTCAAAAGGGCCCTTCTAAGGCACACACGCACTCACACACACACACACACACAAACCAACCATCCGGTGAGGAGATTGGGTGGTGTAAAGTGTTTTTGAGGGCTTGGATGGGAGCACAGAGGGACAGAGAGGTGGGTGGGCAACTCGGCGCGGACGGCCCTGACAAAGCGCTCCGTGTCCCATTAAGCAAAATGCTCCACAGGAAGGTTAATAAAGACTGACAGGCATTCCTAGCACATCTGGTGTGTGTGCGAGAGAGATCGATCAGGTGTGGGTAAATATGTACATGACGAGGGCAGAGATGCCTGCTGAGACGGGCAGTGTTACAACCCAGGCGATGATGATGTTGATGAAGAGTTTCCAGTTGACATCCTCTTTCGCGCGTGCACGGCCAACAACAACTATGGAGCCCACTTTGCAGTGCGTGGTGGAGACTGGAATGCCAACTTTGCTGGCCACCAAAACGGTCACTGCGGAACCGAGTTCAATGCATACACCGCTGAAAGGTTCGAAATAAAAACACCGATGCTTAGACTCGAATAAACGCCATCTATTACGTGCTTTATTGTGAGTTATAATTACAAATAAGTTCAAATAAAGGAATCATTTATAAAAGTACTGACTAGAATTCAACAATTGGTGCTGGAGTCAGGTACTGGACTCGTCAGGATAATACTTAAGTAGCATGCATCTTTCCTATTAATTTTCAATGGTTTTATAAATCCAAATATATGTTAAGGAGAACATGCATGAAAATATGCTTTCTTTTGCTCATTTGGTAGGCAATCACATTATCTTGATATTTTATGCACAAAGAAAGTGTGTATTTAGGTTTTAAAAAAGTTTCCCAATTCCCGAATAATATTCAGCCTGATCTGCCACTGCATCGGCGTCTATCAATTTCAGTCTACAAGGTGCATGCTTTTCGCGTGAGGAAAATCATATAGTAACCTATGCCCTTAAGAAGATACCACATAGGGTTCATGAAATTTTGCAATGGATCCGGACTGTGCTGTACATTTCATGAGGAGCAATAGTAAACGGACATGTGCGGTCTTGCACGCATGGACATCGTACGGTCTTAAAAATCCCATAATTAGAAACTTTTTTAAAACCTAAATACACGCTTTCGTCGGGCATACAATAGGAAGACATTGTGGTTTCCTACCAAATGAGCGAAAGGAAGCATATTTTGTGCATGTTTTCTATAAAATATACTCAAATGTATAAGACTATCGATAAACAATAGGAAAAATTCATGCCACTTAAGTAGTCATTTTTTACCCAGTGTAGTTTCTGTAGGAGGTCAAAAAGAAGTGCATTCAAAAGCCGACATCTTGGCGAGTCCGAAATATTACGGAGTTATGATGCAGGATAATCAGTATAACAACCCCACTTAAGTAATCATTCCTAATCGGAAACGCATTCTAGAATTTTGGCCAACATTTCATGAGATCGGTCATGCACTGTCAAGGAAGCATTTATAAAAGTGCTGACTAGAATTCAACAATTGGGAACCCGTTTCGGTTCTGGAGTCAACAGTAGTCGCCTAAGTTACTGGACTCGAAACCCAATACGAGGGAATTTTCATTCGTTGCAGCTACGATCGCTCATAGGTCACAGTTTAGAAGAGTACAGTGAGTGACCGATCTCATGTAATGGTGGCTGAATTTCTGAAGTGCGTTTTCCATTAGGAAGGATTACTTAGGTGGGGTTGTAATTTTGATTATCATGCAGCATACTCCCATAATATTTCGGATTTGCCAAGATGTCGACTTTTGAATGCAGTTCTTTTCAACCTCCTGCATAAGCGGTCTTTGGTAAAAAATGACTACTTATGTAGCATGCATTCTCAACTTGATTTTCGACGATCATATAAATTCAAATATATTTTACAGAAAACATGCACAAAAATATCCTTTCTTTACTCGTTTGGTGGAGAATCACGTTATCTTTTCGCATTATACTCGAAGAAAGGAAATCTCTGATCTCTGTTATCTTTAAGACCTCAATGCACATATCCGTGTACCGATGCTCTTCGTGAAATGTACTACATAGTCCGCATCTATTGCGAAATTTTATGAACTCTATATGGCGTCTTCTTAAAGGCATAGAGAACTTATGCTTTTCCCTTCGCGGAAAACGTGCACCTTGTAGACAGAAATCCCTAAACGCTACTGCAACGGCTGATCTAGCTCAAAATTATTCGGGAATTGTGGAACTTTTTCAAAAAGTATGAAAACGACGTGCTTTTTTACCAAAGGAGTAAAAGAAAGCATATTTTGTTCGTGGTTTCTATTAAATATATTTGAATTTGCAA